AACCAGACACCAAATAAATGAAAATTAAATCCAACACTCCGTTATACTTAAGTTTTGTATGTCTTTTTTTTTTCTCGTTCCGTCTCTTTTACGACATAATTCCAGACTTATTCTGTCGTCACTCGCGCTATCGCACACTGAATTTGATAAATCCAGATTTATGAATTTAGTGTATCTGATAAATCCTATCTAACGTAAATATTGGTTGCAGCCAAACACCGCCTAAAAAGTCTTTAGTTATAAGGTCTATTCAATGAAATTAGACAATGAAATTTAAAATCACATCCGAGAAATTTATTGTGTCAAAACTTATTATGGTCTAGGGAATAAAAACTTTGTCTATTAGGCTCAAAGGTTGAAGACGCTGGGTTCGTTAAATCTACAAACTTTAAAAATAGAGACATTTACATACATACCACCCAATTCCTATGTATTTACATATCTAACACCTAAACTTCAATCTTTTCATTTATATGACCAAAATCTCTCATATCACATAAAAAATACCACCATTTTAACTTTTAATATTATAACTTTTAAAAAGTGATAACTTTTAAAAAGTGAAATGCTACTTTATAATTGATGTTTAAATGTTAAATATGTAAATATATAGGAATCGAGTACTATTTATGTAAATCTTCCTTAAAAATATCATAGCTTATATATTGGAATTTTTATACTTTATAATTGGTTAACACATATGCAACTTACAATGAATATAGAAATATTCTTCTTCACTCGAAGGTCCAAGCATTTAAACTTCGAATAAATTCCCTAGTAAAATGCATTAACTCTAGTGAGATAACTTCCTCCAAGATGGTCTGATATATTCTTTTTAAAGACGGTGGTTAGTCCTGCAATGCTTTATGGCGGAGAATGTTGGCCTTTAAAAGAGAAGAATCAAACTAAGTTAAAAGTGTTGCTGGGCTTAGGTGGATGAGTAGCTTGACACTTAAACGTCGGCCATCTAATGATCCGATTAGGAGAGTTGATGTTTTAGATTCTACTTACTTTAAGAAAGGCAAAGGTAGGCCTAAAAAGGCTTCGGCATATTGTATGAAAATGATCTTAATTTATTTGAATTAAATGAAAAGATGACACTCAATTGGACATAATGGAGAAAAATGATTTGTGTAGCCGACCCCGCTTTGTGGGATAAAGGTTTGTTGTTGTTTTT